ACCCCGCACAACATGATCTACTCGACTACCATTATGGTTACCGCCAAAAAAAACGGGAGGTAAAGAAGAAAAAACGGTAACCTGGTTGCCGAGTTCACGAAGTGAATTGGCTTGTTTTACAACGTCGTTGCCAAGCGACGAAAACCCAACCCCGATGGCAAACACCGGGGGGGGGGGGCGGCTTGTTTTACAACACCGAGGGGGGGGCTTGCTTTACAACGTCGTAGCCGAGCGATGAAAACCCAACCCCGATGGGAAACACCGGGGGGCGGAGAAGCCGGGGAAGGGTATAAATCACAAATGACACTTACACAAATGGCACTATAAACCACACCGCCCGGACCTATCCAATTTTTTATTGTCGACTAGTCCACAGTAGAAACAGCGGCGGTGCCAACAGTGGCGGCGTTGGAACCGCCTCGCCGGCAGCTTTCCGAAAACGCGTCATCACATGGTTCGTGCATTTTCTTCATGGAGTAATCGAGCTTTGAAAACCGGCTCAAGGGGTGCGGTATCTTTCGTATTCACCCACGGTATTTAGTACCGGTTCGCCCTCCCCGATCGCCCCCCATTCCCTCTCTGTCTTTCTGTCTTTCTGTCTTTCTGTCTTTCTGTCTTTCTGTCTTTCTCTCTCGAATCCAAGAACCGATACACCTTCAGGCAGTAGGGTAGGGTAGAGTCTACAAGGGTCGCGGGTGAGAACGTCGACTTCATTGGTCGTCACTATAACATGAACACATGAATCACACCCGAACGATGGCTGGGTTGAAGTCTTTCTACACGGTTCCATCGTAGGCGGATCCCCAGGCATACAGCCTACCGCCGTCGTCCCACCGTACGTCGAGGTCCAACTCGACCACAAGATTTGCACCAACACTTATTTTTCCTCCCCGCCCGATTCTCCCGTCCACCGACGGCCACGACACGACTACGCCGGAATGACCCCCGTGAAATCGGGTACAGGCGGAGCCCGGGACTGCGACCACTGGCACGAGGGCGCAGGCTTCGTGACCGCGCACATCGCCATCACTCTCATGTACGAGCAGGCGTTGCAGGCGGTGAACCCGTCCATCGCGCTGCCCTACTGGGACGTGACGATCGAGGGAACCTATTACGACTGGAACGACTTCCGCACGAGCTCGGTCTTCTCAGACGATTGGTTCGGCGATGCTTCTCCTGGAAACGTGAGACCGGCAGCAGCTTCCGCGGGAGTCGATTAATGTTCGCACTTTCCTACAGCCGCAGTTCTTTCACAGGCACAATACAGTACTGCGTGTCTTGGTTCCGACCGCCGCGCTCTAGGATGGCGAAGCATTTCGTCATGTGGAACAATTACACTGTCTCGACTCTCTCCTTCCCAACAACGGTACACCTCAACA